AGCATTAACTACAAAACATGATGAAAATTACATATTATTACAAGAAAAAACAAACAAATCACAATGAGTATACAACGCTTCCAACAGATTTTGAATGAATTAATGGTCCATGCTGGGCCAATTTGGAGGCATACGTAATTTTGGCGGCGACCCACGTTTTTGGGAAGTCCCTCCCAGGTGGCGCTTCGTAGAAGCTCATTGATGCCGCTCTGGTATTTTGGGATTACGTGTTAAATGCGACACCCACTTGCTCGTTCTGTGAAGTAATGGAAGATGATTATGAAGATGTGAGTTTCTAGCAGCTTATTTACAGTGGTGTTACATACAAATTAATACATTTGTAAATGTCAAATCACGCAACATGATTTTTTAAGCCAAACGAATTATATTTTTACTCTCTCCTCTTATACTAAATAGTAGGCTACACGGAGAAAGTATTGTTTTCGTCAACATTTTCGAGTTTGAGTTTTGAGTGGATACATACGTTTTGGATCCTCCTGAACTGGACCGAACACTGGTTTTCGTAGTGATGTCTGTGTGTGTGTGTGTGTGCCTGTTTGTTTGAGAGAATGTGCACAGAGCTACAGAACACACATGTGGTCCGATTTTGATGAAATTTGGTGTGTAGCCTAGGTGTTTTTATTTTATTATTATTTTTTTTATGGTGATTTCCCCATAAAACCCGTAAAATAGTGGAAAAATTGAATTTACTCGAAAATGGGCCGAACGATTTTGATAAAATTTCAATATGTTAAAGCTCTTTAAATTTTGAACAAAATGGTATAATTTCCATTGCTGCAAAAATTACGGTTCAAAAATTATAATAACTTATGCTATTTTCCCATTAAAACCCCGTTAAAAATAACAGAATATCGAATTTTTTAAAGAAAGCCGTTTTTCACAATTAGTATGTTATGGTCCTTATAATAATTCTAAACAAAGTAGGCCTAGTGCATGACCTATTGTTGTAAACATTATGGTTCAAGAGTTTTTGCAACTAATTCTACCCAAAAATAAAATACCGTACTTACTCCCTCCCCATGATAAAGTTAATTGAGAAGCTAATGGGAAAAATTGTGTGTCAGATATTGCTTATACCGTTTATTTCATAAAACGGTGACGTAATTTAATCCCAACAAGCTGTTGGCCCGTCCTACTTACGGGAATTGAGTATAGTCAAAGAAAACATACTACTATTAGTGTATAGTCCTTTCAAACTGTATTATACCTACAGTTCGTAGTTATGTCTATATGTCTCTTCAAGCATAGTGCAATATAGTGCTATATATCTGTACAGAGCTGTACATTGAAACAATTATTGTAAATTGTCTTCATTTCCGGTTATATTTTTAAATGTGGTTTTGAAATTATACTGCAGTTTGTTTCGAGAGAGAAAAACCCAGTTATTTATAACACTATAAAAGTAGCAATATACAAGAAATTATTGTCTACGGCCATAAACTTGTGAATAACCACTCTCAATAAATCAAACAGGCACTTATTTGATTGAATAATTCCTATACTATTCTGAAGAGCAGAGTAATAGTCGGACTCGGCTTCTAAGAACCAAAGTAAAATAGAAGAAACGTGTTTTAAACCTCATAAATCTTTTCGTCAACCAATTACATCCTAACATGCGGGTTGGTGAAAACCTCACGTCTCCTCAAAAATAGTCCCACTGAACACTGAACTGTCCAACAGAAATAGAGCCATGAGCTAAGGGGCTATTCTAGAAAATGCAGGTTCATCCTGCCCAACAGATCACTGACTGGCACTGTCAGATTCAAATGATATTCACTTAGCTAAGTAGGCCTACATAACATAAATCAGCAACAGTATACGTAAAAAACCCAGAGGGTGGTGCAGCTATTAACTTTTTTTGTATGTTTGCTCCCTCCTAAATTCTTAGTTTGCTTGAAAAAATCTTTTTTCTTATAGAACTTTACAAATTATTATCTGAAATAAAAATTCCCATTGAAGAAAAGTTACACCAAATTATGTACGTTTACGCATTTCAGTTGTTTGGAATAATATTTCTGACATGTTCTGCCTATATACTTTATAATATTAGTTTTGAAATAATAATCAAATGTTAAATACTTAACGTGCTGTGTGTTTTAATGAATGTTTACGGTATATTTTCAATTCTTTACTGATATCAAATTTACAAAAAAAGAATACTGTACTGTACAAGGAATTTATAAAATATTTAAAACTGAATACTCTGTAATTAATTATACAATTTACATTCAAAATCTGCAAAATGCTCCAAGTTAAACAGTTTAAACTTATAGGTACCCAAAATGATATAGTTATTTGTTTGTTTGGTACTAAAAAGTTGGACCCCTTCTGAAATTTGCTCACCCAACAAAATATACATTTTTGTCTAAAAACCAACCTTGAGTTTATTGAAAATAAAGTACTGTAAAAACTAACTAAACCCAAAAACTAATAGAATGTAAAAATCTTCAAACATTAATATTAATATAAAAAAAACTTTTGTCAAAATCTTGTCAACATAGCCTGTACTAAATCAGGATTTCAAACTTGTTTTCATTTAAGGTTGGATTAAAAAAATCACATAAATGACAGCAACAGTTTTCACAAGTGCACAGACATTTTTAGAAGCAATTGATGAGTAAAAATGGGTGTTATGTACTTATACAAATGAAAGCATTCTTATTATTCATAACAAATTAAAAACTAGAACTCATTTGGCAAAACAAATTAAGTAAAAAATTAACTAGCCTATATATTTATACACAAAGAATATGAGTGTTAGAGGTTGGATTATTATTTTGAAATTACAGCAATTTATTTGTAGAAGAAAGATTAAGTACAGTATTTTCAATGCTTTGGGTCAAGGTTTCCATGTGTATTTTTACTCACTCCCACGGCTTTGTGATATATTAGCTGTATATCATAGCTGACACTGTGAAGTGTGAGATAGTCCATATGTTCAGTTAGACTGTTATTAGTCCCACAAATTTGGTGATGCAATTGCTATGGATTACTAAGCTAGAGAATAGAGATACAACTGGAGGTAGCAGTGAATGTGAGAATTGCAAGACTTTGGTCGCCATTTGTACTAAGGGTAAATTAACATTAAACTTAGTGCATTGGAACTAGAGGAATAGATGATTTGTGGAATTGTAATAAAGTCACAAGCCAATGAGCTGGTCTGATTCTTCTAGGTGGTACCAAACCAACATAACATAATTGTACGTCTTGATTTTCTAGCTGAAATGCATTACAGTACTAACTCCAGTTGAATTTCTAGCTCAGTGGATTAAAGAGATTACAATCCTGAAGCATCATGCCTGAGAGGAGCATCATATCGATTGCAAACCAAAGTAGGCATAATAATTGTATAGATATTCCAAGATAAGGTATAAATATTGGGGTATTGACTTTATGGAACAGCTGCAGCCAAATTTGGGCTCAACCAGAACATAGTCCAAAAAGTGATTCCAAAAAGTGTGTTACAGTACAAAATTTTATTCCTTACCACTGCTTTTGTTAATGTGATAATTTATGTGACATACAATGCTTTATTTTAAAATAATTTTTTTAACATTCAGTTTTGCTAAGTCTAGTTAAAAAGTAAGTATATTTGAAAAAATATATATATTCTATCTGGGCACTCTGTCAATGGTTCAATCAAACAAGTTTTTATTATCATTCTCAAACTTGCCACAACTTTAACATGTCTATCCATACTACAGATAAGATTCACATTTTTCACAGATCAATTGTAGATAATTTGAGATATGGTTCTCCACATTTCTCTTAAAGTTAAAACTAACTGTGTAAGTGTTAAATCTTCCAGAGTTGGTTTAGCAACCAATATAAAGCGTAACCAATCTCAGCAAAAACTTTCCACCAGACAGTGATTGGGACATCTGTGTCAAACACTCTAATTTGTTTCCGCTATCCAGTTAGGTTTATTATAGTTTTTTACAGCTTTCTAAAATAGAACAGCCGATTTTAGTTTTACTGCAAAGACAGAACTCTTTGATCGACTCTAGTTATTACTGGGTTACTAGAGCACGGGTGAATGCACACAAGTATAAAAATATCTTTCCTGGAACACCAGTCCTCTGCATTTGTCATGCATAGTCAAATCTTGGGTTTACTTAAGACTAGAGGAAATCCAAAAGGTAGACAGAAATTTTACAAACATATTAAATTTTGAGCCCAATGATAATATTCATGAATGAGCACAGATAATAAACTCAATGGGTTTCAACATTTTTTTTTAATTTTTTTATAAAAATACACCTATTAAAACCACATACAATTCGGAAAAGTTTCAGTTAGGAGATTTGAGTGATCAAAATTATTTCTGCTATAATATTAAACAGAAACATTAATCATAACAATAAACAATATACTTACTTTAATACTTCTTATTAAATGGCGACCATACAAAGTAGGTATTTTAAGCCAAGTATGAATGGAGATGAGTGTAGGATGAGTGGTGCGATCTTGTAGTCTTGTTAGTGACTAAGGCCGACATTCCTTAGACTCAGCTAGTCAGCTGTTAATTAATAGCCCATACAGTTAAATGGCAACTAAGGGACCTACAGTTTATAGTGGAATCCGAACCACATTTTTGCCTTGGTATATACAAATTGGTCTAATTATCAGGATGGATAGTACTGCGGATAGTCGTAGTACACACTGTATACAAACAGAAACACTATCTAGATTTTTTTTATGTGAAGGTCACAAGCTTTCAATCCTTCTACCACCAGTAGTCTGCCTTCACTATCTAACTTCACTTCATTATATTTTCACTTAGGTGTAATGGCATTAATTTATTTTTCCTTCCCCTCTCCCGAATGATTGTGCAAAATCCATCAATCAAGAGTTAAAAAGTACTTGAAACATTTTGTTGTAACTCTGGGTAATTAGACCTAAGATACAAACTATTGGGTTTGATAATAATATGCTATTGCTTTTATTGAAGATACCAGGAAAACAAAAAAAAAAAAATATTTTGAGAAAATGATCACTTTTATTATGCAAAAGTATCAGTATGGCTGATCAAATTATGTCATCTTTGCAATAAATTAAGAGCATCAACTTATAAACAGGTTTAATATACAACAATTTTCTTCATCCATCTACCAGACTTATAATATACAAAATATACAATCACAAACTAAACATCAAAATAATACAACACAATGATAAAATTTGAAAATTATAACATACAGTTCAGTAGTCAATACTGTTAAGGGTAAATAAAATGCTTTTTCAAAGGAACAAAAAAGTGAACAACAGTCATACTTGGAGATAATCGAGAATCAATTACATTATCTTAGTATAAAAAGGCTCAAGAACTCTTAGACTTTTGAAGTATATAAATATAAAAAATATTTTAATTATCAATATTTAATTGACAACTGAGAGTTTTAGAAGGTATAACTAAGAAACATTATTATTGTGTAATCTAATCTATCTATATACTTAATACAATAAAGGGGTTCTCTGATATATCTCTTTTTTGTTGGCCGTCCTACTAAACTGAATTCTACAATTGAGGTGTTGTTGTTAAGCTTATGGTCTAGCGCACCAGGGAATGGTAATTAAAATAGTAATTTCCTTTAGGACTTTGCCCCATCACTTTAAATTTATTTCTTGAGTCCATTTTCAAAGATTCAGTTATGCTGACCAACTTTCTTTATAACAGTTTAAATGTGAATCGTAATTGAACAGCTGCTATTTTTTTAGTTGAATGTTTAACCACTTTCCAATTGTTAACAAGAGACAAAATAGCACATGAAATAGTATTTTTCATTACTAGTCTCGAAAGTAACTTACTGCGGGGAGAGGTTGAAAAAGCTATTGAGCCCGGCAATGACTCTTTTGAGGCAAGTATTGAACATTATTTTTCATTACGATATCAAAAAACTTGTAAACAACATGAATATTTTTGTCTATTCAACTTAGTATCAAGAAAAAGAAACCGAACTCCTAACGCTGAGTTTCCGTGCTTATGTGGAGGTACAAAACAAAGCTGATCGGTCTGCACCGCAAAATCCCATAACGGTTACTTTCCGTGCACCACAAATGCACAGAAAGTTAACATTATGTAATTTTGCCATGCAGTAGCGGGGATAACCTATTTTCTTAGCTCGTTTTACGTTTAGAAAGTGTACTTTCATGTGTAGAGTATTAAAAATGTATTTTAAATAGGCCACTTTTGGATAACTGTGACGTGATTGAGGTAGGCAAATCACTCTTTATAGTGCAGATCTAAAATTTAAAAAAAAATTTGTAAGTTAGTAGTTCTATCCACCTAATAACTGTAATCTTGAAAAGGTAAATATGGGTATTGCACTGGATTCATTTTGCCTCGGAAACAAGTTTTTGTTCCCCTTTAACTGTGCAATTTGCGCACGGTCCCCTTGTAAACTTATAATTCAAATAATTGCCATCTTAAATAGTAAATCATTAAGAAGAAACATGTAATTTACATTGTTGCAGTGAGCGACGCCGTAGCATTAAGTTGGGAACACTTTGCTTTTTAGCAATTTCAATCATGTTTTAGCAGATACGATTATATTTTCAAACTATGGTACTAATCTTACATAAACAAATAATTTCACAAATTTATCATATAAAAATCTCAAACTCGTTAAAATTTTAATTTATATTTTACAACAATGACAACAAAGTTTTTAAACATCGTCATATTGCTATCAGAGATTTCAATCAAGTGTTAAATAGGATACGATTATTTTTTTAAACTATGGTATTAGGCTACTCTGAAAAACCAAACAAATAATTACACAAATTAATTATATAAAAATCTCTCAAAACCATAACAAAATTTAATTCTTATTTCACAACAGTCAAGTCTCAACAACGGTATCTTATAATAACTTAACAGCCTTTTACACTATTTTCAGGACATATTATTGTTTCTCGACTATTTCCAAGGGAGGGTACAGAACGCTGTGGGGTCACACGAGTGTCCATATGAGAGGGGCTTGCGGCTGTCAGGACTTGTCTCTCCCTGCAACTTGGATTTGAGGCATCGATTTCTTCACCTGTCAATCAAGCACTGGTTAATCTGTAAACAGTCTTGTTAAGTCCTTTAAGTCCCAATATTAGGTCATTGCTCTTGCAAATCATGAAACAAAGACTTTTGATTGACCAGTGACATAATAACATGTAGCAATTTTTTAAACCAGCAAAAATCCATCTCATTTTCTCAGATAAGAGGTAAGCTAGCTGACTTATATTCCTAAAAAATCCTCGTAACAAGTCTGGATAATTTCCTTAGTTTAGCAATTAAGATTCTGTACAACAAACTGAACAGTCTGCATTCAAAAGGTTCTGCACAAAACATTTGCAACTGGGAAATATCTGAGATTATACGGGGTAATCATGGGGAAAGGGGGTTACATACAATGGATAGTTGGAAACAGCACAGTTGATAGTAATTAGAACAATTATACTGCATAGGCAAAACAATAAGTTAACACCTTAAGGCAAGAAAATTAAAGTAAGGGTTTTTAAGAGGAAATACTAAACATGATAAACAAAAAATGTGAAAAGTATAAAAGAATCCATTAAAATAAAATAAGAGGATGGACAGTAATCAACCCAAAGATTTTTCAAAGAGGGATTGATATTCAAAAAGTGTGCAAATCAAATAATGAGTAAACAGACCTTCTGACCATTAAAACTTTGCCTATTTGTGTTATACTCTGTAGTTATTAATACCGTCATGATTATCTCCAAGTTCAGTTACAAACCAACCAAACCTTGTAGCCTGATGACACTGCAAATATGAAACCTGATGATGGATGGATGATGGTATGAAGTCTGATGATAGAGGAAGAATGAAACATGGTAGCAATTAGAATCAGAACACATTTACATGACAGTATACATTGGTTGTGAAGAGATGTACAGTAGACACTGATAATTTGAAATTGGAGGGCAAAGCAAATACATTTGAATAATCAAGTTTGATTTAATGGGAGAAAAATAAACAATTTGAATTGGGAAGAGTTATTTTTTTAAATGCTGTATTGTGTAAGGTACATAATGTTAACATTAACCAGCTTATTTGAGTTACTTTACAATTAACAGCTTATTTTAGTTACTACTTTACAACAAACAGCTCTTTTTTAATTATTTTTTTGTCTAACAAATTTAATGCTTCGGGCATCTACAAAATCAATTGTAACGATTGTGATAGGTTCTACATTAGATGGACTGTGAACTTCATAAACCACATATATGCGTGGAGGAACAACAAACTGAAAAAAGGGACAACACAACAGCAACAAAAAGGAAATATCAAATGTCGCACAACACCTGTTACAAAATGGCCACTTAATAGGAAAAATGGAGGATAGTCTATGTGTTTTAAAGAATTGTATATTTATAAGGAAAAATATAAAAATAGAAATCCACTGATTAATGAACAAGTAAATTTTGACTCCAATTGCAATTATTTAAATGTATTGGCCAGTACTTCCGGTAGCCAATAGGATATAAGTAGGGACGCCATTCAAGATTCTTGTCATTCGCCTATTGGGTCTGATGATGATTGGAGTGTCCAATCAAAATTGAGCACCACTTACCATCTTTTATGTATATTTCCCATTTTGTGAGTTAACATTATAAGCGTAAATATATGTTTTAAGTAGGGATGGTCAAGTCTCGAAATTTCGGGAAATTTTCAATCTCGTTACACGAGACGAGATTACTTTTTGGCCGAGATTTTTATCGAGACGAGAATAAAAAAAAAAAAAAAAAAAAAAAATTAAAAACGCTTGCAGAAAGTCAATGCAATACCCGCAATACAGGAGTGTGTTGTAGTTGCGTTTCCTTTTCGAAGGCGTTCTTATTTAATTAATATTCTTTTAATGTAAATATTACTTTAATTCTTTTAATGTAAATATTACTTTCATTATTTTAATAATATTACTTTAATAACATTTGAGAAGTTTTGTTAAGTGTAAGCAGTGTGAGGAATGTTTTATTACTATAAAAAAAGTCAAAACAAGTAACTATTTTATAAAAATTAATATTGCTTTTATTTTATGATTTATTTTATTTTAGGATAAGTTGAACTCTATCCTAACTGATATCACCATGTTTCCTAATCGTAGGCATTTTTAATAAGTTAGGCGTGATTAATAAAAAAATGTTATGCTGATGTTATTTAATGAAAGATTGTAAATATTCTTGCCTATTATCATTATTTTAGTATTTAAACAGTCATCTAACAATGTTACAAAATCAGGTAAAAATTTTGAACGTGCATTTCCCGTTGTGTATGAGAAGAGAAATCTCGTCTCGAAATTTTATGAGAAATAAAAAATCTCGTCTCGTCTCGTCTCGAACTAAAAATCCAATCTCGTCCATCCCTAGTTTTAAGTGTTATTAGACATCTTTTATTTACTTTTCGTTTAGTTAGTGACAAAAATTCTGATATTTTTGTTAGCATTTTGCTTTTGATTCTTGCTTCATCAATGGCATTATTTAAGACAAACTACTGTGCCAACAGGATGTATAGTTTCTTGTTATGACCGGAAGGAATCCCTCCCTTGGAATTATAGGGTTTTCCGAAGAAACTTTCAATTACTGTGGGTTCCAAATCAGCCTGCTGTCTCCTTGGACTTTGAAACACTGAGTGTATTAAAATGAATGGTAAAAATAAAAAAAATATTAAGAAATTCTATACAGACTGAGATTTTATTTCCGAATTATCTAAAGCTTGATTTATCGAGTTTTGAATAACCAAGAGTTGACTATAGCTAAAAAAATAATTTAAATTCAACATTTAATATATTTTTAGACGAGCAATCACCTGTAGTGGGACACAGCTGAGCCATGACCTGGAGGTGATCATTTCTCCACAGATGTGCCACGAGTCTTTGGTCGGGTCGTAGCACTCTATCGAGTTGTGGTATCTGTCCCATCCCTCCTCTCCTCCCAGCACGTAGATCTTCCCGTCCATCACGGATATGCCTGCAACAGCGGAGAAACAATATGTACAGCGTACACGTGTTTATTCAGCCTTATGAGAGCACAAGGATCCGAAGATCAGAGAAAAGGCTGATTAATGTAAAATTTACACATTGGCTAGCTCTAAGACGAATCAGCTACATTTTCACAAAATTGGCTCCGGTTATAATTTTTTTCAAACAGTTTAAACCTTGAAAAGACTGTGTTAAGGTGGCCAAATTAAGAGGGTATTTAATTTGTTGATATTCAGTTGAACACTCCTAAAAGCCATGATTGAGAAATCTACTACTTTGATAGAAGTAGGCCACTTTGGTATTGAATCACAGGTAACTTTACTCACTTAAGAATGATAAACCGAACGTACCTGGCCGATACCTCCTTTCACACATTGATGCTTTGTAAGACCACGTGTTCTTGAGTACATCGTAGCACTCTACCCTGTTTGTGTTTTCTGTTGAAGCGTGCCAGCCACCTAGACATGTTACAAATTTAAGTGTTTACTTAGCTTTGGAATAGGTTCAAATATTCAAAAATTGTTAAAAAATAGCATTTGTTTGTTATAAACCAGTTTTCAAAATGGTTCTGTTTCCCTAATATTTAGGAGTCTTCTGGTCCCCTGAAGAATATTGTAGATTATCTCCTGTGACGGCGGTGAAATTGTGAATGTCTCTTGAAGACGTGATGAAATCGGGAACGTCTTATGGCAAAATAGTGAACTGAACATATACGACAATCATGATGATAAAATCTAAGCTCAATAATTGAGATGAACCAACTTCTAGTATAAATGACCCAACCCTAGCTTGGCCCAAAACTTATTACCTATCTGAACGCTGAGGCCAACTGTTTTCAAGGACCTGTAGCCCCCACTAAATGTGAGTGATGACCAAAGACCACTAATGACGCTTCCATTTAAAAAATAAATGTTACAGTTATTCTAATAACTACTTACGGAGCAGACTCACAAATGGATCATTGTATGGATTATGTAAATATTTATATTTAATTTTGAATAGGTAAAGTGTTTCTGAATCTGAATCTGTGTTGTTCGAGACAATATATTAACCATATAAATTGGTCTCAAGAACCTAAGACTATTATGTATAAGACCTACTTGAAATATCACAAACGTGTGGCGATGATAAATAACAAATTAAATGAGAATCATAAATTGAGATTAATGTCAATGTTTAATGACAAAAAAAGAAAGATAATGTCAAGCAGGGTGGTCAAAATAAGAACAGAAGACAACAGTCAACAAAAATTAAAAGAATCTTGAGAATGTCTAGCAGGCGAGTTTAGTAATAGTAATTTTCCTTACCCACAACATATATATTAGAGCCCAGCACACAGATAGCAGCACCACTCCTAGGTATCAACATGGGGGCCAGCTCAGTCCATGTGTCACTGCGGGGGTCATATCTCTGTACCAGCTCTATACCATCCCCGTCCTCCAACACTGCACCTCCTGGTACACAACATACAACATAGAGCCCAGCACATAGATAGCAGCACCACTCCTAGGTATCAACATGGGGGCCAGCTCAGTCCATGTGTCACTGCGGGGGTCATATCTCTGTACCAGCTCTATACCATCCCCGTCCTCCAACACTGCACCTCCTGGTACACAACATTCAACATAGAGCCCAGCACATAGATAGCAGCACCACTCCTAGGTATCAACATGGGGGCCAGCTCAGTCCATTTGTCATTGCGGGGGTCATACCTCTGTACAAGCTTTATACCATCCCGGTCCTCCAAAACTGCACCTCCTGGTACACAACATAGAGCCCAGCACATAGATAGCAGCACCACTCCTAGGTATCAACATGGGGACAAGCTCAGTCCATGTGTCACTGCGGGGGTCATATCTCTGTACCAGCTCTATACCATCCCCATCCTCCAACACTGCACCTCCTGGTACACAACATACAACATATATATTAGAGCTCAGCACACAGATAGCAGCACCACTCCTAGGTATCAACATGGGGGCCAGCTCAGTCCATGTCTCACTGCGGGGGTCACATCTCTGTACCAGCTCTATACCATCCCCGTCCTCCAACACTGCACCTCCTGGTACACAACATACAACATAGAGCCCAGCACATAGATAGTAGCACCACACCTAGGTATCAACATGGGGGCCAGCTCAGTCCATGTGTCACTGCGGGGGTCACATCTCTGTACCAGCTCTATACCATTCCCGTCCTCCAACACTGCACCTCCTGGTACACAACATACAACATATATATTAGAGCCCAGCACATAGATAGCAGCACCACTCCTAGGTATCAACATGGGGGCCAGCTCAGTCCATGTGTCACTGCGGGGGTCATATCTCTGTACCAGCTCTATACCATCCCCGTCCTCCAACACTGCACCTCCTGGTACACAACATACAACATATATATTAGAGCTCAGCACACAGATAGCAGCACCACTCCTAGGTATCAACATGGGGGCCAGCTCAGTCCATGTGTCACTGCGGGGGTCATATCTCTGTACCAGCTCTATACCATCCCCGTCCTCCAACACTGCACCTCCTGGTACACAACATACAACATATATATTAGAGCCCAGCACATAGATAGCAGCACCACTCCTAGGTATCAACATGGGGGCCAGCTCAGTCCATGTGTCACTGCGGGGGTCATATCTCTGTACCAGCTCTATACCATTCCCGTCCTCCAACACTGCACCTCCTGGTACACAACATACAACATATATATTAGAGCTCAGCACACAGATAGCAGCACCACTCCTAGGTATCAACATGGGGGCCAGCTCAGTCCATGTCTCACTGCGGGGGTCACATCTCTGTACCAGCTCTATACCATCCCCGTCCTCCAACACTGCACCTCCTGGTACACAACATACAACATAGAGCCCAGCACATAGATAGTAGCACCACACCTAGGTATCAACATGGGGGCCAGCTCAGTCCATGTGTCACTGCGGGGGTCACATCTCTGTACCAGCTCTATACCATTCCCGTCCTCCAACACTGCACCTCCTGGTACACAACATACAACATATACAGGGTGTCCCGGAACTCTCTACCAATATTTTAGGGCATTGCTCCTGGGTAAGAAACATACCTAAATATCATATTTAAATTGTCCGGAAGTCCTTATTTACTCACACAGCCGCCATTTTGTTTTTTTCAGTTATTAATTTTTTTCTAAAGGATGGTTAAACATACGAAATGGAAACTTTGCACAAACATTTATGACAACTAGACAAAGCTACAAAAAAAATGACGATTTTTCAAATTCACAAAACAAAATGCCGGCCATTTAAAATTTTTATAAAATTAACGGTTTTTGAGTTAATTAAGAAACAAAATCTTAAATGACCGCCATTTTGGTTTATGAATTTGAAAAATCGTCATAATTTTTTTGTAGCTTTGTCTAGTTGTCATAAATGTTTGTGCAAAGTTTCCATTTCGTATGTTTAACCATTCTTTGGAAAAAAAATAATAACTGAAAAAAACAAAATGGCGGCTGTGTGAGTAAATAAGGACTTCCGGACAATTTAAATATGATATTTAGGTATGTTTCTTACCCAGGAGCAATGCCCTAAAATATTGGTAGAGAGTTCTGGGACACCCTGTATATTAGAGCCCAGCACATAGATAGCAGCACCACTCCTAGGTATCAACATGGGGGCCAGCTCAGTCCATGTGTCACTGCGGGGGTCATATCTCTGTACCAGCTCTATACCATCCCCGTCCTCCAACACTGCACCTCCTGGTACACAACATACAACATATATATTAGAGCTCAGCACACAGATAGCAGCACCACTCCTAGGTATCAACATGGGGGCCAGCTCAGTCCATGTGTCACTGCGGGGGTCATATCTCTGTACCAGCTCTATACCATCCCCGTCCTCCAACACTGCACCTCCTGGTACACAACATACAACATATATATTAGAGCCCAGCACATAGATAGCAGCACCACTCCTAGGTATCAACATGGGGGCCAGCTCAGTCCATGTGTCACTGCGGGGGTCATATCTCTGTACCAGCTCTATACCATTCCCGTCCTCCAACACTGCACCTCCTGGTACACAACATACAACATATATATTAGAGCTCAGCACACAGATAGCAGCACCACTCCTAGGTATCAACATGGGGGCCAGCTCAGTCCATGTCTCACTGCGGGGGTCACATCTCTGTACCAGCTCTATACCATCCCCGTCCTCCAACACTGCACCTCCTGGTACACAACATACAACATAGAGCCCAGCACATAGATAGTAGCACCACACCTAGGTATCAACATGGGGACAAGCTCAGTCCATGTGTCACTGCGGGGGTCATATCTCTGTACCAGCTCTATACCATCCCCGTCCTCCAACACTGCACCTCCTGGTACACAACATACAACATATATATTAGAGCCCAGCACATAGATAGCAGCACCACTCCTAGGTATCAACATGGGGGCCAGCTCAGTCCATGTGTCACTGCGGGGGTCATATCTCTGTACCAGCTCTATACCATCCCCGTCCTCCAACACTGCACCTCCTGGTACACAACATACAACATAGAGCCTAGCACATAGATAGCAGCACATAGATAGCAGCACCACTCCTAGGTATCAACATGGGGGCCAGCTCAGTCCATTTGTCATTGCGGGGGTCATACCTCTGTACAAGCTTTATACCATCCCGGTCCTCCAAAACTGCACCTCCTGGTACACAACATAGAGCCCAGCACATAGATAGCAGCACCACTCCTAGGTATCAACATGGGGACAAGCTCAGTCCATGTGTCACTGCGGGGGTCATACCTCTGTACCAGCTCTATACCATCCCCGTCCTCCAACACTGCACCTCCTGGTACACAACATACAACATAGAGCCTAGCACACAGATAGCAGCACCACTCCTAGGTATTAACATGGGGGCCAGCTCAGTCCATGTGTCACTGCGGGGGTCATATCTCTGTACCAGCTCTATACCATCCCCATCCTCCAACACTGCACCTCCTGGTACACAACATACAACATATATATTAGAGCTCAGCACACAGATAGCAGCACCACTCCTAGGTATCAACATGGGGACAAGCTCAGTCCATGTGTCACTGCGGGGGTCATACCTCTGTACCAGCTCTATACCATCCCCGTCCTCCAACACTGCACCTCCTGGTAAACAACATACAACATAGAGCCCAGCACACAGATAGCAGCACCACTCCTAGGTATCAACATGGGGGCCAGCTCAGTCCATGTGTCACTGTGGGGGTCATATCTCTGTACCAGCTCTACACCATCCCCGTCCTCCAACACTGCACCTCCTGGTACACAACATAGAGCCCAGCACACAGATAGTAGCACCACTCCTAGATATCAACATGGGGGCCAGCTAAGTCCATGTGTCACTGCGGGGGTCATATCTCTGTACCAGCTCTACACCATCCCCGTCCTCCAACACTGCACCTCCTGGTAAACAACATACAACATAGAGCCCAGCACACAGATAGTAGCACCACTCCTAGATATCAACATGGGGGCCAGCTAAGTCCATGTGTCACTGCGGGGGTCATACCTCCGTACCAACTCTATATCATCCCCGTCCTCCAACACTGCACCTCCTGGTACACAACATACAACACATATATTAGAGAGCCCAGCATACAGATAGTAGCACCACTAGGTTTTTTAGGTTAAGTTGCAAATCATTGTATTTCCAGTATTTATTATTGTAAATGGGTAATAACATAGTGATCTTAATGAATAACAATCTAACTTGTGGTCTTAAAGTTCCGCATTCTTCAATCATAATTGCATTAGGGCGGTCACACAATCAAACGGTCTCATTTTGCTTATAATAACTTTTAAAATTGATCCACTAACATCCAAGATCTACAAAAACATTTTAACTCTTCATAAGGATTAACAATTAAGATTACCAAGCTTGAAGTGCATACCTGTTACATAAAGCATGCCTTCATGAGCTATAACAGCTGGGCTGGTCACTGCCATCTTCATGGGTTCTATGAGGTTCCAGCTGTTGGTGGAAGGGTCATAGCGCTCTACAGAGTCTAATCTGAATGAGCCTTCCCATCCTCCCACAGCATACACACAACCGTCCAGCATCGCTAGTCCTGAGAAGATAACACCATGTTCAAGGTCTTGTTACTTTAAGGACCATTAACTTAATAATTTTAATAAGTAATCTATTTATATCTGTAAAACAAACAACATCGTTTCATAGTTAACTTTAAAAAGTTTTACATGGAACGACAAACGCCCAATTTGAGGCCTTTGCCAACCGAGCGTGGGAAGCGGGAGCAATGTGAATTTTCTAGTTCCTAGAAAATAAGTCGCGGGAAGTTGGTAAGTGTTGTGGTCAGTTGTACTTGCCTTCTCATCGTTTGTCGCTCGTCATGTCATCTGATGAAGAAGAGACTTTGTTGCTGTTCGCCTTGGCTAAGGTCAAGGATGATATTCGTAAGAAGATGTGGGTTCACACTATTAATAAGGAGAGAGACCAGAATGAGGGATATCATAGGAAGATGCCTCATCTCCGAATGCGAATGGACAAAAAAAGATTTTATATTTTTGTTAATTTACTCAAAGTTAAAACTCTAAACACACGTCTACACTATCTAAGCACAAAGCACTGCCAACCAAGTAAACACCTGTTGTGTGATTAATGACTGTAGATTGACGGTCCCGCTCTCTTCGCTCGAGAAAACGCTGCCTGCAGTGATCCAGGCGGGACAACGCTGTGAAGCGATCCCAAGATGTGATCCCGCACAAACGATTCGTGTTGGTGTGCGCTCTCTCATATCCCACCATTGTTTTACAGTCCTGCGCGGAAACTTCCTAGCGCTAAATTTGCGTCGCTCCTGCTTACGGCCTTCGGTCTGAGCGGGCCTTTTGATTTTATATACCACCTCTTACTACTAAAACTACATTGAATATAGTTGCCTCTTAATGTTCCTAAAGTAATGGGACCGGGAGGTTGTTCAGTTAGTTAAAAATAATACTACTGTAATTATAAATGTGCGGCAGCATTGCTTCATTTAGTAAATGTGTACCATTCAGTCAGTTGATTTTGTAAATTGTAACATACGCTCTTGGTCTCTTTTGAGAGGGGGGATATTAAAAGGTGGCGCTTAAAGAAGTCCTTGATTTTATTTGAGTAGTCTTAGTGAAATTTAGGGATGAGGGATCTGTTTTCACAAAGTGGTACATGTGGCATCACGTTTTACTGTAGAAAATGTAAAAAAAATCCATTATCATAGTTTAACGTCTGTTCCAAAAAATGGTTTTGTTTCCTTGTTGTTAACAGTATTGCTGAAAACTCTGGGACTATCGAGTACCAGCTTCACCACTCTATATAAGCATTAGCTTGTTTGTACCCAGTTCAGAGCGTGGCACAAGCATTGAGGCCATCTCCAGCCACATGTCCAGTGCAGGGTCGTATCTCCAGACAGATCTAGAGGCCGAGCCGTCAGGGAACTCTCCTCCAGCCAGGTACAATGTGTTCTTGCCACTGGCCACCAGGCCGTGCTTGCTGTCAACACACACCCCATCATAATAATGCAAGTACACTTCTCATTCTATTGTAACATTCTAAGTTTTTGTTAATGTGAGTTTTATGTTTAACATTTAGAGGAGGGTGGTGTCGACTATTTGTTTCTTTTATTTAACGATAGGTTTTACAAACCGTGTTTAATTGTTTGGTTCAACAGTAACAAATATATCCCCATCCTTCTTAGAGAACAAGCTAATTTTTGCTGAAAAATGGAACCTAATACCCTAATACTAAAAAAAAATACAGTAGATAGTTTTTTTTGTTGAAAATGAAAATATGTTAAATAACAAAAAAAAAATATATAAATAACAGATCTACAACACCCTCTACAACAGATTGGACAGGACTAACCTTAAATATGTCCAACTGTTCTATAAATATGATGGTATATAATATATCATCTTTATAGATTACCTGTTGATTATCTACATGGGAGATCAGAGAGTAATGTGTGGGTGAAAGAGATAGATGTTTTGAGATATGGGAACATTGTGAACAGCTGATGCAAGTGGAATATTGATAATTAGATTTTTACCATTTATTTGAAGTTTGTTCTTTGCTGACTATGTTAATTTATTAGTTTTTTAAGACTTTCTGTTCTCAAATGAATAAAGATTATTGTCTATCGTCTATTAGTGGTGCTGAGGGAAGTGTACAATTCAGTTGATAAGAAGTAAACAAAGGTTAAGAGTTAGGTTCAGCTAGCTTACCTTTAAAACTAGAGTCCAGAGGCCAATAGATACCACACATGAAGGTCATAAAACTTAACATATCTACTCTCTGGAGTTCTATATTAGGACAAAATATCAATGTTACGTTTCTCAATCTGTTATTATCTGTTATTCTGTGCTAATCTGTTATTAGCTCTATGACTCCGATTTTGTCAGGTAAGCTAGCTCAACTCTATTTCTCTATACTGTTTCCTTTTATTGTTAAATTTAACATTTAATTACCTTCTTAGGGCTGTGAATGAATGTAATTTAATTTAGGGCTCACTCTTCCTTATTAGTGTTAGAAATTTAAATAATTGTTGTAAACTTTTTACCATCTAGTTTTTAATACTTTAATATGATGTTTTACTTGGGCCTACACTCAAATTGATACTAGAGTAGTTGCACAAATAGGCTACGCAATTTGATTCAAATGATAAAAACCACACGAAAACCATTATAGTTCCCTGTTGAATAGTGAAGTAGGTCATATGACAAACTGTTTTACCTGACTGCAAAAGGCAAACACGCCATCGATCTCCAAGTGCGAGTTTTGACACAATAACACTCGACTGAACGAAGGACTACTTTCTCATCTTCTCCACCGACAGCGACGATTACCTGTAAAACAAGGGAAATGCATGTTAATAAAACACAAGAGAAAGGTTTTCACCCAAACAATGTGAAGAGTAGATTGCAAACTGTTTGGACAACTATTTGCTGGCATATTATCATCAAACGTAGACTTTTGGCTCATCGTTAGAATCTAATACATTTTTCTGCCAGACATTTTGCCCCTACTATGAGGTTGCAATTTTCACAAATCAAAAACACATTCCATTAAGATAAAATAAAATTGCTGGAACCACAATTTTTACAGGGGTATGGCATTTTATATAGCAGCTAATGGATCTGCAATTACTTTAAAATATGTTAAGGCCTAAATTATATATTTATTTATATTAATTTTCTGCATCAGAAGGCTTCAGAAAAGATTTTTTTTTGTTTACTACCTGAAATTGTGATTTTTGTTGAGAGGTATATTTAATATTAAATTTCAATCAACAATAGGCCTATAATCATTTTTGTACAATTTTAAAATTTACAAAGAACCTTGCAAAATAAAAAAGTCTTGGATATTAAATATGTCTTCATTTCTTTGTGAATACTTATAATTATAATATTGTTCAATAATTTGTTCTTGTCTTTATCAATTAAAAACTTGGACTATAGTCCAGTCAATGAATGATACAAAAGTAGGTGTAGAGTGCGTGAGCAGGTAACTAAGCGATTCCTTCAGAAACTTGTTCAGGGGGCTTAGGGTGTAAACATACCAAAAGTCCTGACTCCTAGGTGGTGAGCCAGGGGGTGGAGGGGGGGAAAAGTGGGGGGAAAAGGTACGAATTTTGGGTTTTTTGATTATATCTCGAAAACTATCAACTTTTTGTATACTATAGTAAATTATAAAATTGAAGAAGATTAATTTTTCTACAAGAAAAGTATATAATGTGTTTATTTTGGTTCAACAGATTACGAGTTATAACTTATTTAATTGATATCTTATTAAAATACTCCTTCCATAAGAAATACATGTAAATTAGTATGCGAAATGGGGCGAATCCTATCCGCCCAAAGGAAATATAACTGATATTCTGGAAATCTTTACCAAATTTCCAGTAATTTGACACTTAAATCATGAAATTTTGTCAAAAATTAAAGCGAGGGTGAGTGTTTAAAAATGGGATGATTTAAGGTTTTTTTTATATTTCCAATAAAAATACACCAAAACTCGACATTTTGTTACCTCGCCCTCGCCTTAATTTTGGATCAATTTTAATGATTAAAGTGTCAAATTACTGGAAATTTGGTAAAGATTTCCAGAATATCATTTATATTTCCTTTGGGCGGATAGGATTCGCCCCATTTCGCATACTAATTTACATGTATTTCTTATGGAAGGAGTATTTTAATAAGATATCAATTAAATAAGTTATAACTCGTAATCTGTTGAAACAAAATAAACACATTATATACTTTTCTTGTAGAAAATTTAATCTTCTTCAATTTTATAATTTACTATTGTATACAAAAAGTTGTTAGTTTTCGAGATATAATCAAAAAACCCAAAATTCGTACCTTTTTCCCCCCTTTTTCCCCCCTCCACCCCCTGGCTCACCACCTAGGAGTCAGGACTTTTGGTATGTTTACACCCTAAGCCCCCTGAACAAGTTTCTGAAGGAATCGCTTAGTTACCTGCTCACGCACTCTACACCTCATTCCTTGACTGGACTACTAAGGATAGAAGTCCAAAATAACAATGGTATTAAAAAAATCATTGGTGAAAAAGACATACTCCTCTCCATAGATTGATTGTACAAACAATGGTACACACTATGATTTTATTAAACAACGCTTACGAGTGAATCACAAGAATATTTCCTGCTGTGATGCAGTTAGTGCTCAGATAATCATATACACAATAGGACAACACCGTAAAAACAAATAGTGAGTTACCTCAATAGTGTCGGCGCTGTTACGGGGTTTGGTCCTCTCAGAGGTTAGCTCAGCTCTTCTATCAGGCAGCAGGTGGTATAACTTTGCCTCTTCCACATACCTGGAAATTAAAAAAAAATTAAAAAGAATTAAAATTTCAGTTTGGTCATATTATACAATACATATTCTTTTTCCTAAAGTAAAAAACCAAAAAGAAATATTAAAAAAAAGGTTGTTTCTAGGCAGGTCAACTTGATTTTGAAGACGACTGTGTGCCTGGGTGCATTTAGTCATATTGTAGACTTATTGCAGGCACAGTTGCACACCTGTCCTATTTCAGGTGCTGATACACTGTCTAATGCAGGTGTATGTCCTTCACCCTCACACTGACGGTTCCAAGCAGCGAACACATAACAAAATAGAAGCGCTACTCGGAGCGCAGGAGCGTGGCAATCTGACTAGCCGACGAAACGGACAAAGATGGCGGCGCTAGCCTAGTCCCGGCGTCTGCAACGAGCTGGTTGACTGCTATGCTTCGAGTCAGTGTTGTTTGCATAGGCTTTGTTTAAATGTAAAAATACTTTTGTATGAAAATTACTTAGGTTTTCCTGGAAGTACATTGTCGTATTAGTATAGTGTTGAAAATATCTTAAAGTAAATCGATTGTTTTTACTGTATTATTGCCGGCATAAAATTTATCTAATGAAAACCTTTACACTTAAGTTCCTATAATGAATTATTCCTAACTGATTAGACAAGCCCAAATTCGTTTAATCAAAGTTTACTCTTGGCTATTTCCAAAGTAATGGTTTAAGAATCGTTTAGGTTGATGTTAGCCTCCGGATTACCAATAAACACAAACATAATTACTCTATTTTAATGATAAATTAAGATAACAAATTCTTTAACACACACAAAAGTAGGGTACTACTAATGATTAAACTATTTTTCGGAAATTACTAAGTGGTTGGTTGTAATTTATTTCACTTAGTTAGTCGTCAGTTTAGGCTTATTGAAATATTTTTATACAAGACAATCATAATACTAAACGTGTTGTTTAGTTTTAACAAATTAAAAAATATTAAATGAATGAATTTATTTCCTATATTTCAGAACACTATATACAATTATAATTGTTGAAATATTTAAACTGGTCTTTATTCAAGTAGTGTTTCCAGCTGTAAATACATTATTTTTAATAAAAAATAAACTGATAATTCTAGAATTAAATAACAAATATTGTATCTGCCCGCTGTAAAATATGGAGCAAATTCAGTTTGAGAACACATAAACAAAAAATACTTGTACATAAGGTAACGCTGTTATATTGAAGAGTTGGTGCGTTGGCGATAACCTACATCATGTTGTGAACTAGTCAAGTGATTTTTCTTTTACAAAAATATTTAAAATGTATTGCATTTTCGATTTGAAGCGGAAGTTGGTTGTAGAGTTTAGGACCCAAGTATTGATGGCGAAAAAGTAGTGTATTTAAATTGGGTAATTTAACATATTATTTTCAAAGCTTCTTGCACTGTTAGGATGATTAGGAATAAAACTTTCTCTTTTTAAGCTCCGGATAAATAACTATCTCATAACCTTACAAATAAAAATATTTTGTACGAGTAAAATGCATAGCTTTTGGTAAAATCGAAAAGAGCTAGTTCGTTTAGATTTTTTCGAGTACATTCAAAATATACTCGAAAAAATCACTAGATTCAAGTCCACTAGATTCGAGTCTATATAAACTTCAATAGTCCTGAATACCGTATTTGTATATATAATTTTTATTACGTTTTATATTTATTAGTCAATGGAAAAGTAAAATACTTTCAATGGATAGGCACGTTCTATATATCATAAAGAAGATATGGTTCCTGTCCGTTGAAATTACCTTTAACACTCAAATGTAAAATTCAAGATTGTTTTCTCTCAATGGTGGGTACATGTTGAAAGCAATTAATTGTATTCATGGATTTATATTAACTGAGAATTTTACAAACTATTCCTGTAAAAAATATATTTAATACCTTATCCAAGTCGCAATTGTCAAAAAGTAGCCCATTTAACATACATTTTTATTAACTATTTTAAAAACAAAATCTAAATGTGGTTCAACATTCAACTAAAGGATTAGCTTTTATTTTGCAATTTAAATTCGAAAGTTGAAGTATACGGCTTGGTTATTTGTTGATACAACATTAGTTTTGTAATAAGTTGCACTAGAAAATTACGCCTTAATCAATGGTGTAGTCAGTGAGACACGACTAATGGGATTTACTAGCAGAGTCGACCCAAGCATTGTCTTGTTCAACCAAGGCCAGACTAAATAAACGGTATCAGCATTCTGACACATAATTTCTCCCATAAGTTTGTCAACAACCCTTATCTTGTGTAAGCGGTGAGAGTAAATACAAGGAAATGGAATTTGTACAATTTTGTTGAGAATTTAAAGGACATACTAAATTTTTATCAAAATCTTTCGGGCCATTTTTTAGAAAATACGATTTTCCGGGTTTTTACGGGTCTTTATGAGAAAATCCCCATTAAAGATCAAAATTTCAAAAAAAAAAAAAAAAAAAAAAAAAAAAAAAAAAAAAAAACGCCTTGAAATACCATGCATTAGAACCTACATACCAAATAAATGTCATCGAAATCGGACCACAGGTGTAGTCCCTAGCTCTGTACACATCCAGACACACACTCACACACACGCGCGCACACAGACATCACTCCGAAAACAACTTTTTTGGGTCCAGGGGGACCCAAAACGAATATATCCACTCAAAACGCAAACTCGAAAATTTTGACATAAACAATACTTTCTCCATATACTATGGTATAAGGGGAGAAAGTAAAAAACAGGCCGTAATGCTCGTCTAGCATGACGTCACGATAGAATACGGCAATGACGTAATTTTTGCCGTTTGTGATCAGCTGCTTGTATTAATCTTCCATCGAAAACAAAAATATAACGTTAATTACGTCATTGCCGTCTTTTATCGTGACGTCATGCTAGACGAGCATTACGGCCTGTTCAACCCTCGTAAGTAGGGGATTAGTTTCATGCACAGGTAAGACCAAGGAGCGCAAGCACTTATGCGCTCCTTGGTCTTACCAGCGAGCACATAATAATAATAATAATAATAAAACCCCCACCCCCGACGAATTCTTAGGCCAAGGGGTTGATAGTTTTACGACTTGCGCTCCTCTGTCCGTTTCGTCATTACGTCTGACTTAATTCGGCTGTTGCCTAGTTGTGCCTATAGAAAGATGCTTATTTAACACGGAATGGTGAATTGCGTAGCTTTTGGTTGTAGCAACAAGACTCCGAATAAGAAAACGGGATATAAACCACCAGCTGGTATTACATTTCACAGGTAAGTAAATATTGACATACTGTAGATAAAAAATACTAGGTTACTTTGTGGTATTGATTTGATTCCGTTCAAAAAACATGTGTAGAGGTTCTATAAACTAATGAAGCGGTTTAAAATAAATGTAAACAAATAAAAATTCGATGATAAATAACCAAAAATATGATAATTTGATAATAAAGTCTCTATCCAGCATAATACAATTATACAGAGCTCTAAGCTAATTTGTTTTGAGAGAATATATTTCAATATGCTCAACCATTTTTTTTTTTTTTAGGTTTCCCAATGACGATCACTTGAGGAAGAAATGGACTGTTGCAGTCAGCAGGAAGGACTGGGAGCCGTCAAAGTGGAGTCATCTGTGTTCAGCACACTTCCGAGAAGCAGACATCGACCGCACTTCTCTGGCATGCGTCCGACTGCGAGAAGGAGCTGTCCCCTGCGTGTTCCCAGCTCAAGGGAAGGAACGGCCAAAAGAAAGGAATCCTTCGAAAAGGACGATAGAAGAGGTATACAATACATCTGAGCCATTTGTAGGTGTTATAGAGTCACCGAGAAGAAAAAAATTAAAACAAGAACTTGATAGGACTAAAGGGTTGCTAGTAAAATCTAAAAGAAAAGTTAAAGCTTTAAACGAAAATAAGAGAAGGTTGACAAAAAAAATAGCAAAGCTTAAAACAATTCTAAATGTATTAAAAGATAAATTAAATATTGCCGAAGAGAACTGTTCACTTTTAAATTCTATATCAAAAACGTCTGCGTCACTGATGAAAAGGTCTCTTGAAAAAAACACCAATCCAAAGCTAAGAAAGATTTATGATGACCGCCTCAAAGCTTTTGCTATAACCCTACATTTTTTATCCCCAAAAGCTTACAGGTTTGTTCGAAAAACATTTGACACTGCCTTGCCGCACCCCAGGACATTATGTCGTTGGTAATCAACGGTTGAAGGTGAACCAGGGTTCTCTCAAGAAATATTGAGGGCTTTGACAGAATACACAAAAAGGAATGGAAAAACATTGTGTTCTTTCATGCTAGACTCCATGGCGATACGTAAACAAATTGAATTTGACGGGAAAAAATTCCACGGTACAGTGAACGTGGGAGTTTCATTGGAAGATGACAACGCACCGCTCGCCAAAGAGGCTTTGGTTTTCAATATAGTATTTTTAAAATCACATTTAAAAGTTCCCGTGGGTTACTTTTTTGTCAATGGTGTGACAGGGAACCAGCTAAGTGCTTTGGTGAAACAGGGATTAACATTATTGCACGAGGCAGGAATGGCCGTGACATCACTTACTTGCGATGGTGCTGCGTGCAATATTTCCATGGGTAATATTTTGGGCTGTAATTTAAATAAAGTAGGATTAACTACTCACTTTCCCCACCCTTGTACACAAGAACCAGTATTTTTTTTCTTAGACCCAAGCCATATGATTAAGCTTGTGAGAAACACGCTAGGTGATCTAAAACTACTCATTGATGGCAACGAAAATGAAGTTGAATGGAGATTCATAGAATCTTTATATAACCTTCAAACAGAAACTGAAATGCATTTGGGAAACAAATTAACCAAATCGCATATAGAATACTGGAGGCAGAAAATGAAGGTAAAATTAGCAGCCCAGCTATTTAGCACATCCGTTGCCGACTCCTTGAAGTTTCTTTCAGATAATAAATATGACCAATTCTTAAATTGTTCTGCAACTGTTAAATTCATTATGATATTTAATGATCTGTTTGACATTTTAAACTCAAGGAGTATTAATGAGAAGTACAAAAAGCAGGCTTTACATTCCAAGAATATAGAAATCACAAAAGCATTTTTAAAAGAAGCTAAAGAATACATCCTACAATTAAAGAACAAAGAGGGCAAGTCAATTTGTGATACAAACAGGAAAACGGGCTTTATTGGATTTCTCATATGTATAGAGAGTGCAATTGGTATGTATGACCGTTATGTACTCCAAACCTCACCTGATGCACAAATGAAGTTCCTTCCCTTATATAAGATTAGCCAGGACCACTTGGAGCGACTGTTTGGATACATTCGGTCACGAGGGGGGCACAACAACAACCCGTCATGTAGACAATTCTCATCTACTTTCAAAAGAATACTTCTTCATAAGGAATTGGAAGAGAGTGGATCCGGAAACTGCCTCGTCCTAGACCGGAGTTTTATTTTCGATGTGAAGTCCAAACAAACTCACCTCAATGCAATTAACAGTTCTCTGCCAGAATGGCGTTCATTAGAGGAAACCACCAAGGAATGTTTATTGTCTGTTGAAGAAGATGAGGACTTAAATATTCCCTTCTGTCAATCAGACTTAGAATTTAATATCATTGAGTATATAGCTGGTTACATTGTTAGGTCTATATCTACTAAGCTATTGTGCCATGAATGTGTATTAGCTTTAAGAGGAAATAAGAACCCTGATGTACTAAGTTTAATAGTTAGTAAGGATAGAGGAGGACTTATACAACCCTCGGAAAGCGTAGTAAAAATATGTGGGTTTTGCGAAAATTCGTTTCGCAGTAAGTTTAAGTTGCTTGATGAGAACATTAGTGTAAAGGAAAACAATGTTATTGAGGTCCTAACGAACAAAGTACTTGGACAATGTGTAGGAGTAGATTTGTTCCCAGATAGTACACATTTCTCAGGATATGAAATGGACAACAATCATTTTTGTTTAGTAATTAAAATGATTGCTCAAAAATATTTTAATGTTAGAGTTCGCTACTACTGTAAAATAAGTAACGAAAGTCTTCACAAAAATAAAGTCAGGCAACATCTCAATAAAACTGTAATTTTTATGGGACAATAAATTGAGTGTAATTTTACAAATATTTGGGAAGTTTTATTTAACTAACATAATTATCTTTAGTTTATCTTGGATGGTATTGAAAGCAAATTAGTCCTTAAAAAGCTGTACTAAACGGTTGAACATTCTTCAAAGACAATATATTTGAAAATGTCTTTAATATATACAATATTACAGTACAACAGTATAAATAAAACATTAAAACACTGCACGGTAAATTTATAGACGACGGCCCGGCGGGGCAGCGGGCGTGGCGCGGAGCAGCGGCAATGGACCCCTTTTGTACCTGATATTTTTAGAAAACCACGCACGATAAAAAATTTTGGTGAATCGGATAGTTAAATTTGGTTATTTATCCACAACTTTCCCGCTGACGAAATTTCTCTGACCAAAAAATAAAAAATTTCCTCGCAATACAACTTTTTCATGTCTGAATGTGAAAAATTAAACTACATAAGTAATACAAATATTTATAAATCAATTACTATCATAACTAATAATTTTATATTAACATCATCGTTTTCCTCAGTATCAGATCTACAAGTGTGCAAAATTTCAGAATTTTTGGTGAACTATTAATGTTGTTTATGATCGTTTATTTCTCGCGGGGTTTTTAATGCGAACTGAGCTCGCGGCTCTTGGATTCAGGCTGTATGACGGACCAAGATGGCGGATTTGGCCACACTTTTAGTGCATTTGGTTAAACGCCGTGTCCTCTCTATTATTAATATTATTATGTGCTCGCTGGTTCCAAGGGTGTTTTCCTTTTCCCATACCTCAGCGAACTCGGTAGTCAGACTTTTTGCAGTCCCAACAGACTGTCCTTAGATAACCATAATCTGATATTAAAGGATTAGATATGGAGGTGGTAAATTGAATTTGGGTATAGTTGAAAAATGAATTTTTACAGTTGAATTTTGCAGGTACAGTCCAACCTCAGTATAACGAATCTGAAGGGACCGAACTGAATATTCGTTATATCAAGGATTTTGTTAAAACGAGGTTCGTTATATAGAGGTTAGGTTTGCAGGAATTTCGCTACGTCGAGGTTCAGAACCAGCGTCGGTCAATATAGGTCGGGATTTGACCTCATTAAAATACAATTAAAGTAGCATAGGCTACAATACTTTACAGTACAGTGTTTACATTGTACAGTAGAACCTAAATTATCCGGCATAATAAAGGGGAGGGATCTTGAATATTGCGCAATCATGACAATGGCATTGACCTTGGTACAGGTTAAAAACTGTAAGTTTAAAATCACAGCTTGTTCTAACCCTTCTAAAACCTAGCCAAATACTGTAATGCGTAGTCATAAACCATGTAAAGAACAAAACAAAACAGTAGACAGTTTTGTAAGCTACTGCTCGCGATAGGCCGGTAGGCTACTAACAGTACAGTACTGATTTATCACAACAGAGGAATGTCAATAATAATCATTAACTATAGCATTGGTGTTGCTAGTTGAAACAAATCGTATTGAAAACAATAAATTATTAGATAAGTCATTATAAAAGTGTATAATCATAGCCAACTTAAGGATAATAAAAACACTCGCAAAAGGAATGTTAAAATAACGATGTTGCTATTCTTTCTCTTTGGTTTTGTTTTTATATTCTTTCTTAGGTTTCTCTTTATTCAAAAATTGTACAAATCGCCATAGTTATCCCATATCACCCAATCACAGCTTACTAAACATTACGTCATCATCAGTCCTCAGTGAATGAAATCAGTTCTCAGTTGCAACATAGCGCGCGCAGCGACAGCAGACAAAGATGTAAAACGGAGCAGACGAATGTTAGCGCAAGCGATGACGTGACCTTTCCATTTAATTTGATAAAGAAACAGATTTTCCCAAAACAATAATTGGGTGGGGTTTGTTATATCGAGGGAAAGACGTAGACAATTCGTTATGCAGAGGTTAAATTCCCAATGTAGAGGTTCTGACAATGACAAATTCGTTATATTGAGGTGTCTTATTTTAGCCGAAATCACGAAAAATTCGTTAAATCAAGGTCGTTGTTATGGTTTGTTCGTTATGTAGAGGTAAAATATACATTATGTCTTATGGAGAGTTCTAGGGGATTAAAAAAAATTTGTTATATCAAGGAATTCGTTATATCGAGGTTCGTTATATCAAGGTTAGACTGTATTCAGGGGTATATTTTTGTTTTTAAACATTGATTTGAGGCATACTGGCTCACCCTATCTGATTTGATACAGTTAATACAGTTACAATACCTCATAAAAATCAATACTAACTAACCTGTAGCATTCTGGACTCTGTCTAACGACCGGAAGGCTCTCTACACAGTCATGGAGGAAGTAAGGACTGAGCAAAGGAAGTCTGACTGTTTCTAGAACCTGCAAAAAACATTGAAAGAATAGAGTTGCTGTTGTTGCTTTGAGGGTAACCAAGCAAAAGTTTGTTCATACTTGTACAACATACTTGTTGTGTATACATGTACAAATCAAACTTTGTAGAAACTGGATGCAATGCACCTTCCACCTGAGTGGTCATGAGTAAAGTCTGTAGTTAATTTTTATCTCTCCTATGTTAAGCTGGGAAGCTGAGTGGGTATAGCACTCTGGTTATTAAAAGGTCCCCAATTTGATCATGCAAAATACAAAACCATAAAGATGGTTCAAATTGGCCTCAGCTGTTTTTGAGCATTGAGCATTGATAAATTTTCCTGGCTACAGAACCAGCTAATCTTAAATAGTAACAAAAATATCATCGTACTACTAATACTCATCTTCCATTCATCACACTTATACATACTAGCAGACATTTTCCGTCATACCCACTTCATGATGGAAAATGTCTGCAATGATGTCTTGCATAACATAAATTCACAATCACAAAAAAAAAAATCACTCTCACCTTGGCAAACTCTGGTTTTCTAGCCACAGGTTTGTGGTTGTACTGATCAGCTACAGCCTGGAACACAGTCTCCTCCTTCTCTACCTCTAGTTCATCACTGCTTGTCAGTTCTACTAACTTGGCAGCTATACACTTACATTGGCAAACTCTGGTTTTCTAGCCTCAGGTTTGTGGTTGTACCATTTAGCTACAGCCTGGAACACAGTCTCTTCCTTCTCTACCTCTAGTTCATCACTGCTTGTCAGTTCTACTAACTTGGCAGCTATACACTTACATTGGCAAACTCTAGTTTTCTAGCATCAGGTTTTTCGTTGTACCATTTAGCTACAGCCTGGAACACTATCTCCTCCTTCTCTACCTGTAGTTCATTACTGCTTCCCAGTTCTACTAATTTTTCACCTACACACTTACCTTGGCAAACTGTGGTTTCCTAGCCTCAGGTTGTGATTGTACCATTTAGCTACAGCCTGTAACACTATCTCCTACTTCTCTACCTCTAGTTCACCACTGCTTGTCAGTTATACTAACTTGGCAGCTACACACTTACCTTGGCAAACTGTGGTTTCCTAGCCTCAGGTTGTGATTGTACCATTTAGCTACAGCCTAGAACACTATCTCCTCCTTCTCTACCTCTAGTTCACCACTGCTTGTCAGTTATACTAACTTGGCAGCTACACACTTACATTAGCAAACTGTGGTTTCCTAGCCTCAGGTTGTGATTGTACCATTTAGCTACAGCCTAGAACACTATCTCCTCTTTCTCTACCTCTAGTTCATCACTGCTTGTCAGTTATACTAACTTGGCAGCTACACACTTACATTAGCAAACTGTGGTTTCCTAGCCTCAGGTTGTGATTGTACCATTTAGCTACAGCCTAGAACACAGTCTCCTCCTTCTCTACCTCTAGTTCATCACTACTTGTCAGTTATACTAACTTGGCAGCTACTCACTTACATTAGCAAACTCTGGTTTCCTAGCCTCAGGTTTGTGGTTGTACCATTTAGCTACAGCCTGGAACACAGTCTCTTCCTTCTCTACCTCTAGTTCATCACTGCTTGTCAGTTCTACTAACTTGGCAGCTATACACTTACATTGGCAAACTCTAGTTTTCTAGCATCAGGTTTTTCGTTGTACCATTTAGCTACAGCCTGGAACACTATCTCCTCCTTCTCTACCTGTAGTTCATTACTGCTTCCCAGTTCTACTAATTTTTCACCTACACACTTACCTTGGCAAACTGTAGTTTCCTAGCCTCAGGTTGTGATTGTACCATTTAGCTACAGCCTAGAACACAGTCTCCTCCTTCTCTACCTCTAGTTCATCACTGCTTGTCAGTTATACTAACTTGGCAGCTACACACTTACCTTGGCAAACTGTGGTTTCCTAGCCTCAGGTTGTGATTGTACCATTTAGCTACAGCCTGGAACACTATCTCCTCTTTCTCTACCTCTAGTTCACCACTGCTTGTCAGTTATACTAACTTGGCAGCTACACACTTACATTAGCAAACTCTGGTTTTCTAGCCTCAGGTTGTGATTGTACCATTTAGCTACAGCCTAGAACACTACCTCCTACTTCTCTACCTCTAGTTCACCACTGCTTGTCAGTTATACTAACTTGGCAGCTACACACTTACATTAGCAAACTCTGGTTTCCTAGCCTCAGGTTGTGATTGTACCATTTAGCTACAGCCTGGAACACAGTCTCCTTCTTCTGTACCTCTAGTTCATCACTGCTTGTCAGTTATACTAACTTGGCAGCTACACACTTACATTAGCAAACTCTGGTTTCCTAGCCTCAGGTTGTGATTGTACCATTTAGCTACAGCCTGGAACACTGTCTCCTCCTTCTCTACCTCTAGTTCCTCACTGCTTGTCAGTTATACTAACTTGGCAGCTACACACTTACATTAGCAAACTCTGGTTTCCTAGCCTCAGGTTGTAATTGTACCATTTAGCTACAGCCTGGAACACTACCTCCTCCTTCTCTACCTCTAGTTCATCACTGCTTGTCAGTTATACTAACTTGGCAGCTACACACTTACATTAGCAAACTCTGGTTTCCTAGCCTCAGGTTGTGATTGTACCATTTAGCTACAGCCTGGAACACAGTCTCCTCCTTCTCTGACTCTAGTTCCTCACTGCTTGTCAGTTATACTAACTTGGCAGCTACACACTTACATTAGCAAACTCTGGTTTCCTAGCCTCAGGTTGTGATTGTACCATTTAGCTACAGCCTGGAACACAGTCTCCTCCTTCTCTACCTCTAGTTCATCACTGCTTGTCAGTTATACTAACTTGGCAGCTACACACTTACATTAGCAAACTCTGGTTTTCTAGCCTCAGGTTGTGATTGTACCATTTAGCTACAGCCTGTAACACTATCTCCTCCTTCTCTACCTCTAGTTCACCACTGCTTGTCAGTTATACTAACTTGGCAGCTACACACTTACATTGGCAAACTCTGGTTTCCTAGCCTCAGGTTGTGATTGTACTATTTAGCTACAGCCTAGAACACTATCTCCTACTTCTCTACCTCTAGTTCATCACTGCTTGTCAGTTATACTAACTTGGCACCTACACACTTACCTTGGCAAAATGTGGTTTCCTAGCCTCAGGTTGTGATTGTACCATTTAGCTACAGCCTAGAACACTATCTCCTACTTCTCTACCTCTAGTTCATCACTGCTTGTCAGTTCTACTAATTTGGCACCTACACACTTACCTTGGCAAACTGTGGTTTCCTAGCCTCAGGTTGTGATTGTACCATTTAGCTACAGCCTAGAACACTATCTCCTACTTCTCTACCTCTAGTTCATCACTGCTTGTCAGTTATACTAACTTGGCAGCTACACACTTACCTTGGCAAACTCTGGTTTCCTAGCCTCAGGTTGTGATTGTACCATTTAGCTACAGCCTGGAACACAGTCTCCTCCTTCTCTACCTCTAGTTCATCACTGCTTGTCAGTTATACTAACATGGCAGCTACACACTTACATTAGCAAACTGTGGTTTCCTAGCCTCAGGTTGTGATTGTACCATTTAGTTACAAACTGGAACACTATCTCCTCCTTCTCTACCTGTAGTTCATTACTGCTTGCCAGTTCTACTAATTTGGCACCTACACACTTACCTTGGCAAACTGTGGTTTCCTAGCCTCAGGTTGTGATTGTACCATTTAGCTACAGCCTGGAACACTATCTCCTCCTTCTCTACCTGTAGTTCATTACTGCTTGCCAGTTCTACTAATTTGGCACCTACACACTTACCTTGGCAAACTGTGGTTTCCTAGCCTCAGGTTGTGATTGTACCATTTAGCTATAGCCTGGAACACTATCTCCTCCTTCTCTACCTGTAGTTCATTACTGCTTGCCAGTTCTACTAATTTGGCACCTACACACTTACATTGGCAAACTGTGGTTTTCTAGCCTCAGGTTGTGATTGTACCATTTAGCTACAGCCTGGAACACTGTCTCCTCCTTCTCTACCTCTAGTTCCTCACTGCTTGTCAGTTATACTAACTTGGCAGCTACACACTTACATTAGCAAACTCTGGTTTCCTAGCCTCAGGTTGTGATTGTACCATTTAGCTACAGCCTGGAACACAGTCTCCTCATTCTCTACCTCTAGTTCATCACTGCTTGTCAGTTATACTAACTTGGCAGCTACACACTTACATTAGCAAACACTGGTTTCCTAGCCTCAGGTTGTGATTGTACCATTTAGCTACAGCCTGGAACACTGTCTCCTCCTTCTCTACCTCTAGTTCCTCACTGCTTGTCAGTTATACTAACTTGGCAGCTACACACTTACATTAGCAAACTCTGGTTTCCTAGCCTCAGGTTGTGATTGTACCATTTAGCTACAGCCTGGAACACTATCTCCTCCTTCTCTACCTCTAGTTCATCACTGCTTTTTAGTTATACTAACTTGGCAGCTACACACTTACATTAGCAAACTCTGGTTTCCTAGCCTCAGGTTGTGATTGTACCATTTAGCTACAGCCTGGAACACTGTCTCCTCCTTCTGTACCTCTAGTTCATCACTGCTTGTCAGTTATACTAACTTGGCAGCTACACACTTACATTAGCAAACTCTGGTTTCCTAGCCTCAGGTTGTGGTTGTACCATTTAGCTACAGCCTGGAACACTGTCTCCTCCTTCTGTACCTCTAGTTCATCACTGCTTGTCAGTTCTACTAACTTGGCAGCTACACATTTCCCTTGGCAAACTCTGGTTTTCTAGCATCAGGTTTGTGGTTGTACCATTTAGCTACAGCCTAGAACACAGTCTCTTCCTTCTCTACCTCTAGTTCATCACTGCTTGTCAGCTCTACTAACATGGCAGCTACACACTTGCCTTGGCAAACTCTGGTTTTCTAGCTTCAGGTTTGTGGTTGTACCATTTAGCTACAGCCTGGAACACTATCTCCTCCTTCTCTACCTCTAGTTCATCACTGCTTGCCAGTTCTACTAAGATGG